TTATAGTCGAACTGATCTTCTCGGAAATATGAAACTAACGACACCAAATTCAACTCAATCCGAGCCCAAATTGGTCTTAATCGAAGACCCGAAGCGCTTTTGGAAGGTTCAAACCAAAATTTTGATTACCAAATGGTTTCAAAACATGACATGCTTATAGTCGAATTGAGATGCTCGACGAGATGAATCCAACGAGCCTAAGAGCACCGAATTTCGAAATCATTAAGACCTTCAAATGTCTGACAAACGGTCCACGATCATGGAATTCAATTTCGGCCGTCCATCCAAACCACTCCACATTTGTCCTTGATCCTCCCCCTATTTATGGGTCATGCCACTCTCAAAAAATATAAATAGCCCATCATTTATCTTAAGAGGGGACCCAAGCAAGAAGGAAGAAGGAGAAGAAGAAGAAGAATAGAAGATAAGAAGAGGAGGAAAGAAACTCCCCTTCGACCACTGGCGGAGTTCCGCCCGACTTTCAAGTGACGCAGGAGTTCCGCCCGACTTTCAAGTGACGTCGGAGTCCATCCCAATTTTAAGTGACGCCGAAGTTCCGCCCGATTTCCATGTGAAGCCGAAATTCTATCTGATCTCCAAGTGACTCTGGAGTTTTACCCAAATACCATCTAACACTGGAGTTCTCCCCGGTCGTTGACTCACATCGGACTTCTACCCGTTGTCGGACCTCCGCTCATCGCCAGATTTCTACCTAACGCCTTCCTTCTAACCTCTGTCGTCAGATAATAGTCCTACCGACCTCCGTCATCCGCCGACTACGGTCCTTCCAACTTATGTCGCCCATCGACTACGGTCCTTCCAACCAAACGAACATATCAACAATGACTCATTGTATTCCCACCATGTACTTCATATAATGTACAACAAGCCAAGGCCTTCTCCCTAAGGAAGGACCTCATTTGTAATTGACTGCAAATAATAGTGGATTCATTCAAACTGGGCAAGGCCTCATGGTTTTTCCCCCTTTTCAGAGGTTTTTCACGTAAAAATCTTGGTGTCTTTAGTGAATGACCTACTCTCTCTTTTTAATTGTATGCGTGTTGGATTTTCGTACAACGCTAAGACGCTAAACTTTATATTTCTCCACCACTGTGAATACTCCAGGACGCAATACTAACTTTGGGCTCTTTTTCCATAATCCACCAATCTTTCTTAGTACACTATTGTTCTTCTTTAGTGATTCATCATCAAAATCATGTGAGAAAGGACGAGCCGAGACTGTTAGCTTACCAGAGATGGAATTCTTATCAGGATCCTCATTGTTCCTACCATTGTTTCCAGATGTGAGAATTGTTGAAGCTGCTTCAGCTGCCTTTCTCCATTGATTTGACTGCACCTTTAGCCTCTTTAGTTCAGTTTCCAGCTCCAAATTCACTGTCTTGGCTTCCTCCAGCTGCTCTAAAATTTTCACTTGCTGAGCTCTGAATTCAAGATTTCTTTCTATTCCAAAATGCTTTGGAGTGTGGTTTCTTTATCCAAGAGGTTTGCTTTTAGTTCTGTAACATCTATTACAGCCTTCAATAGCTTCAACTTAGAGTTAAATTGGTTAGCCTCAGCCTTCCTCAATTCCTCTCTCAGCTTCTTGTTCCTTTCTAATATGTTATGAACTTTCTTTTCCATGTCGAGCAATCATTCATTAAACTCTAAAAGTTCAATTTTTTATTTCTCTATGGTTGATTTTAGTTCTGATTCTCTCAGCCTTGCATTAAACTTCACATGCTCAGCAGTTTCATATGCTGATTGGATTTGAATAAGCAAGAACAAACTTACAAAATCATCTGAAAAAACATAGGTAAGGGTTCAAAAATTTCTTGAATACAAAACATTTACAACAAACAGAAAATACCTAAAATTTTAAAATCATATAGAATTGCTTGAATGGAAAAGAAAACAATGCAGACAAGTTGGCAAATCTATAAAATTCAATAGAATATCATCTCTAATGTTGGTTAAAGCACTCGTTAATTAACAATAAAAAAAAAAACAACTCTTGCTTTTCATAATAATTTATCTGTCAGCTATCTGCCAATCACTTATACTATTGCAATCATCACTACATATTGTGCAGCACTTAACCACGATACGAAGATGATAAATTTTGATATGCGAATTGAAAGTTTGCCATTATAGCAAATGAGAATAAGCCTCAAGGCCATCAGCCCATGGCAAACTGCATTCAAAAAACATGAAAAGTGGGTGGGTATAGGTGGGTACGAAATCCCGGAAGTCACCATGGGTGGGTGTGGGTTGGTGAAGCCCGTCCGAGTAAAATATGAGTACCCAATGGGTACCCAATCAGGACCTCATGTAGGAATAATTATTACGTCCTCCGACCGGACGTAGAGGAACGTCCGGTCGGAGGCAAATTCCCGCCAAATACCGAGTTGTACCGAGTAAACACCGAGCAATATCAAATAATAACGAGGAATAACATCATATGAAGGCCCAATACCGAGTTATTTCGAGCTATCTTGAGTAATACCGAGTTATACAAAAGTTGTACCGAGTTTTTCCTAGAAAAAACTCTGTACAACTCGGTATTTCTCGATATAGCTCAGTATAACTCGGTATTGGTCTTCAAAAAGCGGTATTCATCATTATTATCAAATAATACCTAGTTGTATCGAGAAAATACTGAGTTTTTTGGCGAAAATTTGGCTCCGACCGGACGTTCCTCTACGTCCTTACACCAGATGTAATAAAAGTTCCATGTAGGGCTTTACATTGCAGTCTCCAGACTGACTTATTTTTCCTTTCCATATTTCAGTTAGTCCTTTTGCTAGTTCTGTTTTCAAATTGCACGGCTTTTTTTCTTTTTTATATTATCAATTGCACTAATTGTAAAGTAGACTAAGAATTTTTAACCCAACTTACAACAACAATAACTTCAAGCATTTGTCCAACTACGTAAGGTCGGCTATATAAATTCTTTTTTGCCATTGTCCTGTTAAAAGTCAAATTCTCATTTAAAATTTTTTAACCCAACTTAATCAATTTTTAATTAGAACTTCCTAATATAAGTTTTTTAAATATATTATGAATTTTTAAATTTAGAAAATTAAACATATACAAATAAATAATTTAATTTAATTTAATAAATATATTTGATTAAATTGATGATAACTTAATAACTTGACTTAATCCTATTTGAATCAGTTAAAAAATAATGCCATTTTAATAGTAATAAAATATTATTATAAAAATAATGTGTACTCACACTATATATATATTCATATTGTTAAACCATCACTTATTTATTAACATGTTTACATTATTTTCTTCTTATGTTATCAATATAATCCACATATTTCCAAAAGCATCAATAATTAAACTAACAACAGTTTCTCCTAAATGGGATTATAAAAAAAAAGAGGTTCTCTCAAATATTTCAATAAAGAAACTATTTAAAAAAAAGGAAAGTGATTATATTCTTTTAATGTAGGTGGTGTCTTAATGATCTTCTCCCAAAACTCATCTTGCATGCTGGGAAGTTGGATTTGCATCTCTATTATAATAGAAGAAATGTTGCGGAAATACATATAAAGAAATGCAGACAAAGAAATATGTTCGTAACCAATTTACCTTAAAAGATGTTCTTTCATCTGCAAATATAATTAACTTTATAAGCTCAACTCTCGAGCTTGCTAACGAGTCGAGTTCGAACCAATTCGACTTACTTACATATCTTCCTAATTTATTCATGCAGGTGAATTGTTTTGGTATCCTAAAAGATTTTTATATTCATTGTGCATTTATTCATTAATCAGATTATTTTTAACTTCCAAACAAGAGGTAATCATCTATTTATATATACATGTTTAACATTTTTTTATTTTTTTATTTTTGCTTTTGAATTTTAAAAGAGCTCTCATCTATTCGGTTATTGATATCCCAATTGAATTAATGATATGGGTTTGCCCGTTAGCTTGTATATTTTTTTTTTTCTCAGAAAATATGCTGAGAAGACTATCAAATTTTGTAAGAAATTATCATCACATATCATTAAATAAGTCAATTGCTAAAGTGTTGCCATCAATTATAGATATTGAAGCCGAATTATGTTTATTATTTATTTTAAAATTTATTTATTTTTTATATTATCATATTAGAAATATAATTTTATTATATTTTACAGATGATTATGAGAAGTCAAAAATAATGAGAAGTCTAGGTTCAAATTGGCTGTAAAAATATATATATAATAATGACATGCCATAATTATGTTTTCATAAAAAATGATTAACTATTAAAAGTAAAAAAAAAATTATATCTTATTATTTTAATTTAAAATTTTAATTTTATCATAATTACTCTTTGTTAGATTTTACATGTATACTTGTCCAAACATTTTTGTTTTTTTCCAAGTAATATTTTTTTTAAAAAAATTATGATCTTATTATTTCAATTATTATAATATAAATATCTGTCATAAAAATGAGACAACAATGACTGTAAAATTATAATATCAATATTGACAAATTAATATAACCTTATTTGAGTTGGAAAAATAAGTTAATTTTATCTTCGTCAAATACATCTTATAAAATGATGCAGAAATTGGCGATGCACTTCTAATGCTTGGCAGGGATATATGAAACCCACATGCAACACTACTAGGCATTTTAAGATAAGTTAAACTAATTTAATCAACAAAAAATTCTACTAATAGATGTAAAAAAATAACAAACAATACAAGATTCTTCAATTCGAGAGGAAAAAACAACTCTTCAAAAGATTGTGTACTATTGAGCTTAATATCTTGATAAATAATTATTATAAATATTCAAAATTTAAAAGTGATTACTGCACAATTGTGAAGAACAAGGTAAAAACGATTACTGACAACAACACTTCTAATAAGGGTTGTTCCATTGATATCTACATAATTCTTTTGTTTTGCTTCACTAACCTGCTTACAGAAAATGCTTTTAAAAACAAATCTTTTGGACAAAACCAATTTTATCACTACAATTTTAAATAACATTATAAATGTTTAGCTCTACTCCATTATCTTTAAAAATTGATATTAATAGGATACATCTTCATATTAAAGTTGAAAAAAAACTTTCATATTAACTTCAGTTATATATTAAAATTTGCTTCAAATCAAGTTGTACCTATGTATTTAAGAAAGCCAAGAAATAAATAGATAATAGTTTATATATATAATATCGACGACCTATGCGTTAATATCCGAAAAGATTTTACAATTCCTTAAAAGATTCAAATGTCCATGAGCAGGATATGAGGATTCATGATAGAAGCAATTTAAAAAAGATCTTAAAATAAAAAAAAATAACAAACAAGAACATCCATCATTATGGACACAAGCAAAACCCTGAGGAGGGGTAGGATCAAAGCAGGAAAGAGAAACCAGACCATTAAGTAATCCTAAGATAAGGCAAACTGGACTTATCCATATTAATCATACCTCTAACAGGGAGTGGTAAATACGTATCAACAAACTCCTGTAAGTAAGAAGTTGGCAGCCAAAATTAGCAAGCCAATTAGCACACGAGTTAGCTTCACGGTAAATATTAGTCAAATAGTAATTTAACTTGATAAGAGAAAGTTTACTTTGTTTAATAACACGGCAAGAATCCATTTTAATATTTCTATGTTTGGAAGTATTTCTCTCCATCCGTAAAAACCACATTATAGGAACAAAAATTAAATTGTAGACGTGGCCTTTAGTAGAACTTAGCCACCAATGAATAATAGTCACATCATTACTATTGCAATGAAAACTACCCTTATTAGCCAAATTAAATAAAAAAAAAATCTCCAAACAGTAGTGGCAACATCCCCATTGACGAATACATGATTCAAATTTTCAATGTTAGCACAGCACTAACATTTCGAGGGCAATTCAAAACCTTTTTTTCATTAAGATAGTTGAAACATGATTTGATCCTCACAATGCAATTGTAAAGAAATCCTATTGATGATATTCACTAAATTAGGAGGAATCGCCTCAACTAATTTTTACACGTTCCAACCACCATTATCTATAAAACTAATAACCTGAATAGAATCAATAGTATGAGTATTTAAAAAACTATCAATAGAATAAAATGTATCACAAATAATTAGTATATGCCTATTGATATGAAGAAGATGATTTTCTTTAACTTCAACTCAAACAGATAGAAAACTTGGAAACAATTGGTAATACTTGAAGATTGGCTCATTGGCTTTTAATAAGGCAATAAAAAGTTTAAGTTGTGTAAATTATTCGATAGACACCAATAGAGATTAAGTAAAATCATGATTTTGAAAATCTTGTCTCTTTTAAATAGCTAGGATATAAATTTATCTATTATAGCCATTCAATAGCAGTGGGAGTTGAACCTCTTATCCCACTTTTTGCAAGGTTGGGGCAACACTACCCAAACCAATGCTCAGTTGTCAGATGATAAAATTATGACTAGCTCTAAACATGATAGATCCAAAATTAGAGATAGAATATGCTATATTTCTCCTTACATACTTTCAAATTGGGCCCTAAAAAAAAACTTCTCCAATGCTAAATTTTGTTTTGTTGTAGATGAATCTAAAAAATGGGAGACAATAAGTTTGACATTAAGAATCACATTATAAATCCATATAGGGAAGGTTATATCTCACAAATTTTAGAGCAATTGGTAAATTAGAGTGGGTATTGGATAACAATAATCTTATTTCACATATACCATGTCTTCAAACTTACACTCTCAGAAGTTTGCACTCAAGTCAAATTAGAGTAAAAGTGAAAGCTAGTGAGCAGCGCGTGCGCATGTGAGAGAGAGAGAGATAAGAAGTAGAAAGATTATCAAAATGGATTTCACCTAAAAGGTTTAATAGTATAACTTTAGGTCGTAGAGCATTCCATAAATTATTAGCATGTTATGTTGCTCTTAGATTAAAGAAGATATATATTGGCAAGTAAAATGAAATGAATTAGGTGATATCACAATAGTTCGGTAGAGAAATAGTTCTTAAATTTGGTTGGCATAATAAGACAGAAGAAAGAAGCACTGTTAATTGGAAAAGATTCATGAATGGATGTTTTTGGTAAGTAATAAACTTTGAACAAATAAAAAAATTCATGAATTATTATAATGAGAAGCATCATTATAATAATTGCTCACAGGTTCACTTGTCCTGCGCTCCATACTGTTTTTGGAAATCTCGATTGATCATGTAAGTATAACACGAGTGGGTTCTTTGAGGCGTTATTATTGTCATATTGTGCAGTTTGAAGAGATCTGTTATTACAAGTACTGTATCGACAAACAATTAATGCTTTTCGTACTAGTGAAATAAAATTGCTGAGTAATATATAATCATCATGTTAAGTTACTAAATCAAGATTTGCATAATTAGGATTAAATAAACTACCATTCATAAGAGGTATTTGTTAGGGCTCAAAAATACTGCAGCTACCTTAATCCACGGTGTCTTCCACCCTGTCAAGATGTTTTGAAACCCTATTTCAAGAACTTGCATAAATTTATATAAAACACAAGGCAATATGAGGACTCTGCAAGAATCTAAAGAAAATAAAGTCGAGGAATTCGACAATAATGAATCACACAAAAAACTCAGAAGAATTAAAATCTGAGATGGACTTTGCAATAATGGGCTAATCACCTTCGCAATCAGCAATAGAGAAGAGGAAAATAGCAGAATATTTAACTTTTATGTTATAGCGGTAGTTGGCATAGTGACAATCGGCATTCGGATTGAAAGAAAATGTAGGCAAAGTCACTTATCATGAAATCATATGAAAAAAAAAAAAAGAAACACCTTTCCAATCAGCTGTAGAGAAAAGGAATCCAGCAGTACAGGAGAATTGCTGGAGGTGTTCAAAGGAAATACAATATCACAGTTGAGTTTTAGATTTTAAAATTGGTATGTGTTGTAGGCGTTAAATGGAGACGGGGAGTCGCAGGTGATTTACCTATGAGGAGAAATAAGAAATTGTGAGTGGACATGTATTTTTTTAGCGCCAATAATGTTAACACGTTATTTTTTTTTTAAGCTCCAAATGTAGTTGTGTCGTAGTAGGTATTTTCTAGGACATTTAATGAAAAATGTCTTAATATTTTTGTATTAAAAATATATTTATTATTTTTAGCATGCTTGCATGTTTCATGTTGAAATTATTAGAAATGATATATCTTTAATTTATTAGATTTAAACGAGAATTTAACTTTTAACAAAATACAATAGAGAAAAAATGATTCATGCAGTCAACCCCACGTAGTAAGATAAAAGCTTGATGTTATTGTTGTTTCATGTTTGATCCAAAGCCTTAGCTAATCTTTAGTATTATTTTTGTTATTAAAATATTTTTTAAATTGAAATTGATAGCTTCTTGCTTTACATCATACATTCATTATTGTGGTACCTCTATTTTCTTGCTCCTTTTTTAAATTTATTCAGTAAACAATTACCTCACCTCTTTCCAGGTATCCATCTTTCATCCAAGAAATGTCATTGTGCTCAAATCATATTGGGTAAGTTTTGAATAATAACTTAAATTATATAAATTCTATATTGGTTGGTCTTTTTAAGCATTGTCTTTTATCATTGTTTTCACATATTCTTGTGTATAAATTCAGCAGAATTCAAGTTGGATGGTTGAAGTGGAGGAATGCATCGGGCTTGTTATGTGATAGAAATGTACCCCTCAAACTTAAGGGAAATTTCTATAAGATGGTAGTGAGGCCTGCAATGCTTTATGGTGCTGAATGTTGGCCATTAAAAGAGAAGCATAATACTAATTTAAGTGTGGCAGAGATAAGGATGCTCAGGTGGATGAGTGGCTTTACCCTTAGAGGTAGAATACGAAATGAGCATATACGTGAAAAGGTTGGAGTAGCTCTAGTAGAAGATAAGATTAGAGAGAGTCGCCTTAGATGGTTTGGTCACATAAAACGGCGGCCTTCTGATGACCCGGTTAGGAGAGTAGAGGTATTAGATTTGACTTATGTTAAGAGAGGTAGACCTAAAAAGACTTGGTTAGAAAATATTAGAAATGACCTTTCTTTATTAGATTTAAACGAGAATTTGACTTTTAATAGACACAATAGAGAAAAATGATTCATGTAGCCGACCCCACGTAGTGGGATAAAGGCTTGATGTTATTTGTTGTTGTGTTGTATGATTGTGTATAAATTTTAATATTTCAATTCTTAAGATTAGAAATATTTTACTTTTTTCATGGACATTCTTATATTTTATCCTAATTAATCTCATTTAAACTTGCTCTTCCCAATCCATTATAAGTGTCAACATTATCATGAGTACTTATTTTCTTATTCATTTCTTTTTAGGCTAACTTATACTATTGATTCTCATTAATAACATAATAAGTGATACAAATATGCATTTTTTTTATTATCTCAATTTAATCTTTATAAATTTTCACCTTTTTTAACAGAACCATTAGTCACCTTTTTTTTCTTATTTTAATCATATTTATTTATTCACTATATATTAGATTATTATATTGTTTACTATATTGATTTCTTGACTATTTCATAGATTAGTTGTATTTTGGAGTACATTAAAATGTATGCAATTTTTATATGTTTTGAAACCAATTGACATTTAATATTTTTTTATATATAAATGTTTTCATGCTCTATCTTGCTTAAGATTTTTTTTTCCTTGAGATTAAGTTTTGCAGTCATTTTTTTTTAAAGTTGCACAATTGTCAAATAAGCATGTAATATATCCTTTTTGCGCATTCATATTTAGGATTTTCCTACAACTACTATTAGTTATTGCTTGGTTATTAATATTTTTTTTTTCTAATGTTTAGGTAGTTGAATTGCAAATTCAAAGTATTTGTTGGAAGAATTTAAAACACATTTAATAAATTTAACAAGAAATTTATTTTCAGGTCCCAATTATTTTCTTGAATAATATTTTTTAAAAAAATTGTTAAATTGTATCTTGTTGGGTATGATTAGAAACTAACAATAGTTAGAAATTCAATGAAGCCTTCCATCCAATGAAGCCTTCATATCCAAACAAATGATGGAATTCAATGAATTTTATTGCTCCAGCAAAAGTTGGTTTCATTTAAGGCTCATTTGATTGCCTATAGTTAGAAATTATGTTTTATAAAATAATGTACTTTCTCATTCATTTGATGTTATAGTTTAAATAGTTATAATTGATAGATTTTATAGAGTTTTAAAATATGTTGGTTTCTGAGGGTTTGTTTGGCAAAGCTTTTGGCTGTTGATTTCTATGCTTGATATATCATCAAAAAATTATCTTAATCGAGCACGAATCTCGAGGCAAAATTGAGTTGAAAGCTTCCCAAAATTATATTCGGGACCATATGAACTCCGATATTGGCAACCTTATAGTTGAACTAAACGTCTTGAAAGGACGAACCCAACACACCAAATACGACTCAATCCAAGCCCAAATGAGCCGAAATCGAAAACTCGAAACATATTTGGAAAGTTCACACCATAATTTGGATTACCAAATGGTTCTAAACATGACGTGCTTATAGTTGAATCGAGCGGCTCGACAAGAAGAATCCAACAAGCCTAAGATCGCAGAATTTTGACATCACTAAAACATTCAAATGTCCAATAAACGATTCACGATCAAGGGAATCAACATCGGTCGTCCATTCAAACAACTCCCAACTTACCCTTGATCTCTCTCCTATTTACTAGTAATACACTTTCACAAAACTATAAATAGACCCCTCATTCCTCATAAAAAGGGAGGAAATAGGACGCAAGGATGAAAGAGAAGGAAGAGAGAAAGAAGAGAAACTAAAGTTCTCTTGCCACCATACTCCTCTTCGACCACCGTCGGACTTTCGCCCGACCACCGAAGGACGCCAAACTTCTACACGGTCAACGATTGACGCTGGACTTCTGTCTAGCCACCAACTTCCAGAGTATCGTTTGACACTACAATTGTATTTCAAAAATTACATCATACACAAACATGAATGCATTGCACAAAATATATTCAATGGTACATATCTGTGTAGGCCCTAACAAACGTGTTAAAAGTACATACGTGACATCAGAGAATGCCACGCTGGTCAAAAATATGTTTAGATTTGAACTTGATCCTCTATTGAAAAGTAGACAGATTAGACAAGGTTCAATGAACAATGATGAAAATATTCTATGAACTTCCTGATGATGGCTGTGTTGACAAAAAGTCTTAGCTGATGAGGACCACAAGCATTTAAAATGCCTTCAAATGCCCATAAAAATCCAAGATTCAAAATAATCATTGAAAATCAAAATATTTAAAATTCAACTAGCAGACACTTAAAGCAAAAATTTATCCACCATCCGCAATAGTTAACCAAGGTGGATGAATTTAAAAAAATACTTTACCTTACAAAGAGCTAATGTCTGATCGAGAATATCACTAGGATTCATTCTCAATCTATCTCTTGTTAGTAAGAATGTGGCATGTGTCCTCTAATAGATGATTTCACTGTCAAATAACACTACACCATGGGGTTTGGTGCTAAATGGCACCATAGGTAAACGGTTATGACCAAGACCCTCTAAACTGGATGGTTCGTCATAAAATGGCGTAATTATATTACAATTATGGTCAGAACACGTATGCTCCACAATGACATTAAATCCTTGAGATATGAATCAATAGGATATAATTGATATGGCACAAAGCCCTATCAACTAAGTTGAATTTAAATTTGTCGCCTTAGATAAACATCCACACCTTGTCTACAATGTACCCTTATATGATGCAACCCATGGCTGTTGATTAGGATCCTTTTGTTAGGTTGAGTCGACTATATCCGACTAAGTAGACCAGGGACCACGATAGCGCAGGACGATGGAAACATGAGATCTTAATCGGGCTCATCACCATTTCCCCACCATCTGCTTATAGTGTAAGATGGTGAAATTTATAAATTTTAAATATTAAATCTTCCAACCGTTAAACCCATGCTACTACTGTATGCCGGATATCACGTATCTGTAGATATGATGTATTCATCGATGACTAAACTTAATCGAAAGTTATTTCCCGTTATCGGGAGGGGTAATTAACTATAGGCGCTTGCGCCTATAGGAAACCTGAACTCAAATCATAATGTCCTTGTAAATGAGGGCAAAATCTTTTGGTAGTAACTAATCTATAATCCCAATATGCATTCTGAAATTTTTCCCATGAATCTAATATGTTAAAACTCCCCTGAAAGCAAAAAAGTGAAAGTTGCATGGAGGCCGGGGTGTGAATTTTTGGAGCCAACATATACCTACGAATAAATGTAGAAGATTACTACATATGCGTTATGGCTCATCTGTGGATGACGACACATAGAATGTAGCAATATTAGAACAAATGTGAACAAATGTGAACCCCTACAAGCTGTTGTAGGAAACCCAGTATACATCTAATATATTGTCTACAAGCCCAAACAAGAAGAACTATA